GCTATCCTATCAATATGGGCCAACATTTCTAAAGAATGCTTTCAGCACCTTGTTGAATCAATGCCACGTAGAATTAAGGCAGTTCTGATGGCGAAAGGGGGTCAAACATGGTGTTCCTAATAATCCTTTAGGTGAGTGTATACAATGCAAATTGCGTTGAGATGAACAATGTAACCAGCATATAGTGTCCAGCAGTAATGATCAAGAATCAGAGTAAATCAGTGGAAACAGAAAATAAAACGCCAGTGGGGGTGAGTCACTGTAATAGCCCCAGTGCACTGGGGTCTTGGTAGGGAAATGCCTCAATGAACAGACTCAGGGTCCTACAATAACTATGGACTCATCCCTTTTATACCTGAGATAACTTTTAGCGTCATTAGTTTGCAATGCCGACACCCCCCCCCTTTATGCATTGTGCATTGATAAACCCCGAGTACTGAATGATTTGATAACCACTGCCGTAGTACTGCTTAATGCTTATTGAGGCAATCAGCATTTGTTAAACTGGCTCTAGCAAGTAGGGATGGGTTTCATTAACCATGTGTCCAACTCCATCTGTTCCACCACCTGCCTTTCCCACTCACCTGTGATGCAATATCATAATGTGCTTAGTGAAATGCAACATATATATAAAATACATTTTTACAGCAAAAGAATCTCTGATGTTTCAAACAATTCACTATCACTGACTGATTTTGTGATGATGGAAACGTAAAACAAATGTAATAATGTTCATTTTTAAGTATGAATGCAGGACTTTTTCTTTGGCTGTGTTTTCACTATGCTGTGTCAGGGTTGGAGCTCGTCTGGTCCTGTCCCTTGATTTCAGTCCCCTTTCATGTGACCTTGAAGTATAACTTAGCTATTTATAATTTAGTATTCAGAGAAAAGTACAGACGCTCCTCTACTTACGAACTTTCAGACATACGAACAAAGAGGACTGTAAGTCCAAATTGTGCTCAGTGGGCTCCCGTTACCTGTCCGCAACATCATTATTTTTTGTCTGCGCACCAGTTTCGCCTAGTACGACCTGCCGCTACTCCCGCCGCGCAGCAGCGTAGCGTGCGTACTCCCAGAATCCTAGTTCTTTGTACTTTCGTATACTCTTAAAATGATGTTAAATAATGACTTACGAACATTTCAAGTTACGAACGGCCGTTTGGACGTATCTCGTTCGCAAGTAGACGAGCGTCTGTATTGTTTTTGTAAATATGATGTTATGTGATAATGCAGTTTAATCACACAGACGTGTAATTATGGAATATTATTTAGCACTATATAATGTAGAATACTGTATAAGTATTATGATATTATTAAAAAGTATGCCAAATATCCATGATGTAATCATTGCAATGTAAACATTATAATGTAATCAACACAATGTAATCAATTGAGTATGTATTTGCACCTTGTATTAGCCTAAGAGTTTCTGTTAGCTACTTTATATTAGTCCTGAATCTTTGAATATCCACCTTTATTAGTGTATATTTTATCACTATGTTAAAGGACAAATATATTATCAACCCTCTAGTTAGTCAATGTGCAACAGGCTGAAGCTGCCAAGGTTTACTACTGAAGGAAGGGATTCGCCTGAGTTCACCAGAAGTTCACGGCTGAGCATTTTTAAAAAACCAAGTGGAGACGGTCGCGCCACCATTATGTTCGGCGGAGAGACCAAACAGTAAAAGAAATGATGGACAAACTTATCACCTAGGGGTGTGGATTAAGGGAAAAAACAATGATTGTGAATGATTGAAGGAATGATGATGCTCAAGTGACGTGATATTGTTGAATGATAAGAACTCGTATAAAAATTAGTGTAAAACAGTATTGGACACACTCCTGCAGGGTGTCCAGCCTTGGCTGTAACCTCACTGTTGCAATAAAGACTGAATCTGAAGATCTACACAAGTGGCTCCTGACTCCTGATTGGGGGGCAAGAAAAAACCACAAGAATAAGCTGATTGCCAGCAGGGGCTGATAAGTATCTCTAAGAGGGAGGTAACATATATAAAAATGAGATCTCACAGGAAGTGGGCAGTGCTGTTGGCCTGGCAAGTAACAGAGAAACCTAAACATCTGGCACTTATTAACGTAAACGAGAGCAGTAAGAAACAGAGAGAAAACTGAGCAGAGGAGCTGAGTGAAGCTTCATCTGCATTAAATACAATCGAGGGAGAAAAACCTCAGAAGGGAGAATCTCTGGGAGGTAACTGGAGACGCTGGAAGGAGACAGACTGTACAGCTGAGCATGAAGAAGCTCCTTGGTGTCACCTTCTGTCTCTGCTCAGGTAAGTCCAGCCTGGCCTCAGAGGAGAGCTGCTCCACACTGACTACAAAGTCCACTCAGACCTACATGCCAGGATTCAGCTGAATCTGAGGCAGCATCAGTAGTAACGGTAGTGGAGGTTAAAGTTCCTGGATGTTCTGTTAAAGTCTCCAGAGCAGAGCAGCCACATTGTCACTCTGGTAATGTATGCAGCTGTCAGGACCAACAGAAATATTTTATTTTTTCAATTGCTAAGATACATTCTGCAACACTAAAGTAACTTTGTCAAAACTCTTCACACAGTTTTCAATACCAACACTTAGGTTGGCCAAACAGTTAATCTCTACTCCAAAATGCACTGCAGCCACCAAAACAGTTAATCCATGCCTAAAAAAGACTCATACCACCAAAACATTAGCACCTAATATCTTTCTAGAAGAACACTATATCACACATAAAAGAATGGCCTACAAAACACTAACAGGCAACATTACATAAAATATAATATGGATCAGAAGTAAAGGATCATCTGTAAAGTAACTGTGATGTCATTTGTCATAAACATTGCATTACAAAACAGAACACTTCTTCAATCTAGAAAATGTCCAGGAATGAACACCTTATGTTGCAGTACATTTCAATGGTCTTTATTCCTTACTGTAGTGTAATGACAAAATCATCAGTAATAAAAAAAAAAAAAAAAACTACAGTGGTAGGTCAGAACTCGAACTCATTAGAACTTGAATTTCTTAAAAGTCGAACCAACCAGTTCAGAAAAAAATGACCTAGAACTGAATCTCAGAAGTTGAACCGTGAACGCCGACCTAAGATAACTTGTACGCATGTGGAAATGAGTCGCGCGTCACGTCTCTCAGTGGAAACAAAGGGTAAAGCTTCAGTCTCAGCCTCGCATTCGCTGTGATAGCATTGTTTGTTGGTGATAGTGCTTTTTTTTATTGAAAGTACTGTATCAGGTAATACACTGTACTTTATACCATTTTGGTAGCCATTGCTCACCAAAAAGTTCCACAGTAGTTGTACAAATGTTACAGCCTAAAAGTTTGCGATTTATGAACAAATTAACGAACACAGAGTAATAATAAAAATTAACAATGGACCACATGGCATGGTCATTGTTTTTTTTTACTTTACACATTGTTTGGATACATTTATTATCTTACTTTACAAATTACTGTTTTGATAGATGTGCTGAGATGTGTTTAGTATTTGCTCTTCTTGTTTTATCCTGTTCATTTGGTGTTTAAATGCTAAAAAAAAAAAAACATATTTAGATGTAATTTTTTGGGGCTGGGAACCAAGTAATTGGTTTTCCATTATTTCTTATGGGGAAAACTCGATCAGAACTCGAACGTTTTAGGATTTGAACCCGAGTTCTGAATGGATTAAGTTCTAGTTCTAAGGTACCACTGTATTTCAGGAAATGTTGCAGAAACAAAATACACAAAGTGCATGTACACACAGACCTATGTGTGTGTTTATATACATACAGCGCCCTCTACAATTATTGGCACCCCTTGTAAAGATTTGTAATCATTGACAAATCTGGGGAAAACGGACTCACTAAATACACAGGACAAGCCAAAAATAAGAGGCAACAGGTGATCACAATCGGGAATTAACACGAGGTAACGATGGGGGCGTGGCACACAGGAGGATCCGACGAGCAGGTCATGACACCTGGAAGAGAACCCAAGTTTATTTTTCCCCCACATACAGTGAGGAGGATCATAAGAGAGGCAAAAAAAAAATCCCCAAGGGTGACTGTTGGTGAACTAAAATACCAAGTAAAATCTTGAGGTTACCACGTCTCTGAAAAAATTATCATACTAACAGATTATTTGGAAGGTATGCCAGAAAAAAAGCTATTTTTTGTTAGTTAATCACAAATGTAAGCACCTGGAGTTTGTTAAACACTACTACAACTTTGGCTGGAATCATATTCAATGGGCTGATGAAACAAAAATGGAGCTTTTTGGCAATAAACATTCAAGGTGGGTTTGGCGTAAACAGAAGGATGGATATAATGAAATGAACCTCATACCAACTGTAAAATATGGTGGAGGTTCTGTGATGCTGTTCTTCCTTCAAAGGCCCTGGAAACCTCGTTAGGGTACATGGCACTATGGACTCCAGGAAATTCCATTTTATATCAAAATTTGGCTGCCTCCGCCAAGAAACTAAAACTGGGCCGTCATTGGATCTTCCAGCAGGACAGTGATCCTAAGCACATGTCCAAATCAACATAAAAATGGTTAGCTGACCGCACAATGAAGCTTCTGCCATGGCCATCTCAGTCCCCTGACCTGAACCCCACTGAAAACCTGTGGGCTGAGCTGAAGAGCAGAGAGCACAGGAGAGGGCTGAGGACCCTGGGTGACCTGGAGAGATTCTGTACAGAGGAATGGTCTCAGATGCCCTGCTCTGTATTCTACAGCCTAATAAAATGTTATATGAGACTCAGTGCTCTTATACTGGCAAAGGGAGGTCGTACAAAGTATTAAAAGCAGGGGTGCCAATAATCGTGGCACATGTGTTTTTGATGAAGGATTTGTTGTTCTTTCAATAATTGTATTTTAAGGAAAGGTTGGATTTTTCTCATTCTTTCAGTGTGATATGAAATTTTTACTAACCCTTGTTACAAATCTTTAGAAGGCATGGCAATAATTGTGGAGGGTGCTGTATACATACACATACACACTCAGATAAACATGCACTTGTAACTGATCTACAATTTGTATTGTATGTTTATGTTGCAGTTGGATGCTGGGTGGCGTCAGGTGTGATCACAGTGTCTGGATATGAAAGACAGTCGGTCAGTATTGAATGTTCTCATAGTAACGCAGAAACCAACTTGAAGTATTTCTGTGGGAGCCGATGTGACTATAAAGACATTCTCGTTAACACTGAAAATGGTCGTTCAAACAAGACGAATGGGAGGTTCTCCCTGTATGATCATGGATCAGGAACCTTCACTGTAACCATCACTGGACTGAGGAAGACCGACACTGGGAAATACTGGTGTGGAACAGAGCGAGCAGGCGCTGACAGCTACACAGAGGTGCACCTCACAGTGATAGAAGGTCTGGTTTATCATATTCATACAGTAATCTCATTCAGTTCCTTAAATATCTGCATCCTCCTTATTTATTGAAAGCCAGTGTTTTCCTAAAGGTATGATACACCTGTAGAGACTACACGTGTTATTTTAATGACAGCTGTATTTAAAATTGTACTTTACAATTTATTTAAAAAGTACTTAATGAAATCTTCCTACCTTATGTGCATTGGCAGCAGGGGGGGCAGGGGGGTGCAGTGGTTACCACTGTCACCTCACACCTCTGGTACCTGGGTTCCAGCCCCTGCTGGGGTTCTGTGTGTGGAATTTGTATGTTCTTCCTGTATTGTTGTGGGGTTTCCTCTGGGTATTCTGGTTTCCTCTGTGAGAGAAAAATTGACTAGAGAGGTATTTTTGTATAAAGCTTTGTAATATATATTTTTTTTAATTAATGCAATGGTTCCTGTGTGTGGGGCCTTGGCTCTTCCGTGCTCTTGGGGGGCTGCGGACGCCTTGGGTCTCCTGGGCCTGTCTCCGCCGGCCTCTGGTTCTTGTGGGGTGTGGTTGCGGCCCCCCACCCTCGCTATCAAGTGCATTCCATGGAGAAATTCACACGCACCCAACACACGCATACGTGTTCAAACACCTCCCCCAAACAGATGAACACACATGTAAATACACCTCCACGCTCCCTTCCAAGCACATGCTGCAATTTTGTATGTCTGTATATCTGTTTTATTTTCTTTATTTCTGGTATTTATCCTTTTTTGGTTGTATTTCAAATGCGTTTTTTTTTTCCTTTGCCTTATGTGCTTTTTACGTTACTCCTGTCTTTCTTAGCCTCTCTGTCCCACTGTTGTCTCCGCCTTTGTTAGTTTTTTTTTGTCTCTCTCTCTCTCTCTCTCTC